GTAAGCCTTTTTACCTTTTATTTTCTAAGAATTATACAGATGGTATTAGCTGCCAGAGGTATATATTTATGTCTTTAACAAATATGTTCGCCTTTAATTTACTGCTAGCCATGTAACTACTTAAACAACTTGCAAAGGCAAACTATCATGGGTACAATACATACCTTTGAAAAGAGCCCACTTTGGAGTACAACTGTTCTAGCTAAAGCATAGTCAGGATATGTTTACAATATGCTTATGTATACAGGAAAGAGTACAATATTAAATAAAAAATTTCATAATTGTGGACTTGCTACAAAATCAATGATGACACTCAGAGACCTTTTTTGGGAAAAGATTACAGTTACTGACAATTTTTTATCTGTCATTAGGATTTTCAGACATTCTTATCCAAAATAAAACTGATATGGAACTCTTTTGCCCTAAGTGTAAATTTTCCAGAAAGCTTCAACAAACTTACTTTGAAGAAATGGTGAAACTGTTGTTTTCCAATGCGACAAAATTACTATACTGAAATGGCATGACAATATATATATGTGTGTGTGTTACTTCTTTGCTCAATTCCTATACTAAAATGCTGTAAAACTGATAAGAAAGTTATAAAACGGCTGTGAGGTTATTGATTACAACTTCCGAAGGGGTAAAATCGACACAGCTGATCACATTATGGTTTATTATCCAATAACTCAAAAAAGAGGCAATAGCAGCATTATATAACAATTTTATGCTTTCTTTTAGACATGGCTATTTGAAATGCCTCTATTTTACAAAAGAAACAACTTGCAAATATTGGTAATTCCAATATTATAAAATTGAAATTACTGACAATTCCAATATTATAAAACTGCAGATACTGACAATTACGATTTCTGCATGTATTTGATTGAATGCATTTTTCAGAAATTTCATGTTACCATTCTACAACCCACTGCTAAACACTTTCCAGACATTGTATCATCAACTTCTTCAAAGAAAAATACAACGAGGAAATGCATAGTTTGCTCTAACAAAAAAATTCACTGTGAATTCCACTATCAATGTTGCATTATGTGTTCAACCATATTTCAGGTTATATCATACAAGAGCTAACTCTTATTTCTTTTATTATAATCTATACTTCAGTTTCAAATTTTCAATATTTTCACTGTTACAATAAACAGTTTTTCAACTGTTAACATTGCATCTGATTTTTTTCAAATGCGCTGCATCACTATGCACTTAATGTATGTAAAAAAATTATGGCACAGGGGAGCAAATCACCAGAGATTTCACTGGCAGTTAACCCTCTCCCTGGTTTGCCTAAGTTACCTTGGAATGAGAAAACCATCACGCAGTGATTCTCTCAAATATACTTGACATTCTCAAACACTTAACATATGATTAGTCTGAATGCAAGAAGTAAACAACTCCAGTTTTCACTGCAAAGCATATTTTCTTCCCCCATCAGAGCAACAGCTAGCAATCAGCACTACAACAAAAGTAACCACAGGAATTTTCTCCTTCAAGGTGTTTTTACCGAAAAAGAAAACTACCTCTTTCTTCGGGAAATAGTGTCTCGTGTGTATGCACTAAAAATCACTATTTTTGTTTTGTTCAATTTGTACCAGCTTCAGTGGTAAATATGATGTTACAGAAGTTAACTGGATACTAACACTGAAGTTTAACACAATAGGCTTCCTACTTCACACAGAAGGGGGAAGCAGGGAAATAACTACATTTGAACCACATGACAGAAGGTTTTAGACAGGTTTCTCTTAACTTCTTACCACTGTAAAATACAATTTATTTTGTTCAGCTACTGTTTAAGGGCTTAATGCTTCAAAATACACAAGTTTTAATTTACACTAAAAATCCTATGTAGATCATAGCACTTATGGAAATGGAACATGATTTCCACATTGACACTGTTTCACTTTCTAAAAACTATGCAAGCATGCTTCCATCGATGGTCTGATTTCTATCAAAAGCAATGAATTTTTTTGGCCTTGTTATTTTCCTTTAATTTAACCTTAATCAAATAATAATTTTTCAGCCTTTCCTTTCATATCAATAAATATTAATCCTGATCCTATCCATATCTACAAATAATTCCTTAACTTTATTTAGCAAGAATTGTATTTTTATACATATAATTTTACATTGGTTATCTCAGGGTGAATGTAACATAACTACACTTTGTAATAAACTTGTGACAGACTCTGTGTAGATTTATTTTTTTATCAGTATCAGATATATTAAAATTAACTAGAATCATTTATCTTTTAAAGAGGAAATTTTAATCTTCCTTTTTATTTCTTTTTGATACTAAACAATTCATTTTGTTGTTTTATTATAAGCAGGAAAATAAGTCAGCCTTATGTATTTATTTCTAGCCTTTACAAAGAGTGTTACAGATTCACTGTAATTCACTGATATTTTATTTACAAATTTCAAAAGTATTTGATTAATTCTTGATGTATTAGATAAGTTTACCAAGAAGTGTCAAGTACAGAAAAAAGACTTACCTCTGTTACAGGTGTATCTCTAGCATGAAAGACGGCAGACCAAAACCATGCATTTATAGATAACTGAAAAACAAAAATTAATTCACATACATATTTGACAAAGATTTTTATTAATTAAATAAAATGAAAAAAATATGATGTAATGGCTGTGGCTAAGCAAAAATGAACATGGTGCCATTTGACAAGGGAAATAGTAAAAGAAAGAAAAAACACAAACATTATTAGAATTTTGATGGCATTTGGAAGAAGTGGATTAGAATTAATGCCTAAAACATTTAATGATACATTTTTGTGAATGTCAAGGAAATTTATCAAATGAAGCTTTATGGTCAATTTTTTGCAGAACCAAAATCAAAATTACAATTAAGTGCCATTACAGCAAATGCCATAGCTCAAGAACAGTGCATAGCAACAGGGTGGCAAGTGTCGTCGTCCAGACGCCTTCCCAAAGGTGGCCTATTTGCTTGCCGTTCTGAATGCTGCATCTCTTTGAAAGTTGGTGATCAGGGCCACCGTTTAGAGTGGTGCAAGGAGCACAAACCTGGACAACGGAGTCCTTTACAGATGGGAGTCGTTTTAGTGCCACAAGAGATTCTCAATGCTAGTTGATTTGGAGAGAGATCGGGACACAGTTTCATCCCAGAAACACCATGGAAAGAGACCGCTACGGTGGTCTTGGAGTTCTCGTATGGAGAGGCATTATGCTGCACGGGTGGACAGAGCTCCATGTTTTTGACAGAGGTTCGTTACCAGAGATTGCTATTGTCAGGAAGTGATCCTTCTCCATATGCTGTATACTGAGTACTGAGGTGCCATTGGAGAAGACTTTTTTTTAAGGATGGCAATGCATGGCCACATCGGACTCCTGTTGTTCAGAAGCAACTGCAAACTGAAGATATCACTCAAATGGATTGGCCAGCATACTCCCCTGATTTAAATCCCACAGAACATGTGTGAGATGCTTTGGGAAGACGCCTTGCGGCCTGATTACATCTCCGGGGAACACCCAACAACTGAAACAGATGTTGATTGAGGAATGGGCACTTTTACCTCATGATCTGTTGAACAATCTGGTGCTGAGTATGCAGAGATGGTGGGAAGCAACCATTGCAGTAAGGAGAAGGCATATCCTATACTAAAGAACATCTGCTTGTTGTTCTCCCTCTTGTAAAAACAATCATGTGTAACAATACTATGAGTTCAATAAAGCCTTTTTTGTTTTGATTCCATACTGTATGCATTGTATTCATTTTTGTTCAATTATGCTTTTGTCATCATTTAAATACAAAATGCTGTTTCTCATTTCTGAATTTCATGTCTCTCAGATGATTTTTTGTGGAATTATGGCAAAAAGAACACCTGTTGCTTAAGTTTTGCACACCAGTGTATTTTAAGATCAAATTATTTGAAAAACTACTTTTTTTGCTCTGGATTCACTACAGTGATGAAATAGTCACACTTTTTGGTAATAATAAAGATTTAACCAAGATTTTTATATGTTATGAATTTAAACGATCCAGCCACGAATTAATTTTTGAAATTAAACCTGATAATTTCCATCTTTTCTTCGATATTCTATATACCTGCAATGAAACTATTTTAAAATCCGTTTTGGAAAAAACAGTCCTTTATTCTGTCCATATGTGCAGACGTCACACAAAAAATCATCTAAATAGATTCCGGAATTGTCAAAATGGATATTTCCGTTGAAATGTGATAACCAAAATTTTTTGTGATTATAATGCTTCAACATACAAGGAATACATACAAGGAAGTAACAAAGCAAAAAATGATGCATTCCTTATTTTGCATATAATATTTAAGACAATTTGGTTACACATTTTGTGTTCATTACATAATTAATAATTCAATAAAAAAATTCTTTTAAAACCTGATACTATATTTAAATTTGTCGAAATCATAAGTCTGGATTAGACCTATTTTACTATATAAGAACTAATTAACTCAGTTCTGTCCCAAATTGATTTGAAACACCCCAAGAAAAAGATTATGAAAAGTCTTAAACTGCTTTCTCTCACTACACATTCTTCAGACAGATTTTAGAGCATTCATTTTAAATTCCCCAATTTTGTAAATATGTTACACTTATAAATACTGACGAGAAAGGAATGTAAGCTTAATGGGAAAATAGTCAGCCCTATTAACAACTGTATTATTCAGTGAAACTTCTGAAATTACAGTAAAATTCACTAATAAATTAAGTATTACTATGAATATAATATAAAAGTTAATAAAACACTCATCAAAATACATTTTTAGACAGACAACTTATTTTTCATCTTTGTATACATATTTTTTTTTACTACAAAAAATTCTTCCTAAATTTTATTTTAATATGCAATACCTACAGAAATTAGAACTAAAAATATACTACACTGAATAACAGATGATATAATGCTATATACTGAAATTAATGGGATTATGTTTTCATACATGGTTTAAAGAATACCTACCAAAGCTTGCACATTCCAAATATTTTTGAAAGAAGAGCGAGAAACCGCTTTCCTAAATTTGCCCCACATGTAGTAATGCATAAATCCATTGAGTACAGAAAACAAGAAAGATGCTGGCTCTTGGATACCACAAAAACGATAAAATGGCCACTATAAAATATTATACTGCATTAAAACCAACACACATACAAAACACATATAAAACACAGGGTGAAAGAACGTTCTGATTTGGAATGTCAATAAATAAATAATAATAAATAACAAAGCAAGATAGAGAAAGAAATATTTTATGCCTAAAAAGTACATATCCATTGTCATCCATTAAGTTTTGAAGAGTACATCAGTTAAATGGTGACTGTCAATGTTGATATAGTCTTAAAGTCTCTTTTGGAAATTTTGTATTGATATGCAGACTATGTCCCATGGAATCATCATGATTTCTTGCATAGCTGCTGCCTTAATTGCTTACAAATTTGTTGGCTGCTGTTGGTAAACTTTTAATATGAGAAATTCTCACAGTAAAAAAATCACAAGAGGCCAAATCTGCCAAACAACAAATATCACCTCATAGAGAGACATAATGACTTGGAAATAAGTTTCTGAGAATTCCAAGTAACCTTCTAGAGGTGTGCAGTGTGGTGCCATCTTGCTGAAACCATTCGTCTTCCAGATCATGATCCTTGACTAAACCGTTAACTTTTAGATGGAGAAAATTCCCAAATAATTCACAATACTGCCCTGACATTACTATCATAGTCACACTGCCCTCTTCAAAGTAATAAAGACCCCAGATACCGAAATCCCCTAAAGCACACCAAACCATAACTTCTGGACTATGGAGTTTTCGCTGGTGAACTTTTCAAGGATTTCTATCAGAGCAGTAAAGTTCTGTTTGTTGACCATTCCCGATAATGAAAATGGTCTTTGTCACTGAAGATTAGTACTGATGTTAGGGGAATGCTCTGCAGGATAACCTGACACAAAGTTTTATAAATGTAATTAAAAGTGTTATATTGCAAATGTTTAAAACATCTATTAAAATAATTATTTTTATAAACTTTTTATGAGCATGATTTTTTTTTTTTTTTTTTTTTTTTTAAGACATGCTTTGTATGTACAAAGAGGGAAGAACCATTCTTTCATTTTCAATTAAGAGAAGATTTAATCAAATGTTATATCATGTTATTTTTAATTAATTCTTTTTTTCTTTTTCATATTTTATGTAAAGTTTATGAATTAAATAATAAATTATTCATTATTAAATTAATTTATTACTATTATAAAAATAATAAATTATTTTTATTTCTGTATATTATTAGCTTCACAGTATCATTAGTAAAACACTTTTGCAGTAAAATTATAAATTGAATAAACTTCTTAATTAGTATGCTGTATTAAATAAACATGGCATAAAGTTTGTTTTCTGTTACCACATTTATATTTCCCAATTTTGTATGCAAATCTCAAAATTTATAATAATTGGGAATATTTTTAATATGACTTTCTAAATGATATTGTTTTTGAATTGAAATGAATCTTTTAATAATTTGGCCATAAAAAAGGCAATGTCATATATATGTTTTACATTGAATCATACTTATTTGTAATTATGCTAAGATTTTATAATAATATCAAAAAAATTTTGAATATTATTAGAAAATAACACTAAATTATATTTAAAATAAATCATTTCCTTGTCTTAACATTTAAAAGTATTTATGTGTTCTAATAAAACAAGATCAGAAAATAATATCAAAAAAATTTTGAATATTATTACAAAATAACACCAAATTAAATTAAAAATAAATCATTTCCTTGTCTTAACATTTAAAAGTATTTATGTGTTCTAATAAAACAAGATCAGAAAATAATATCAAAAAAATTTTGAATATTATTACAAAATAACACCAAATTAAATTAAAAATAAATCATTTCCTTGTCTTAACATTTAAAAGTATTTATGTGTTCTAATAAAACAAGATCAGAAGCAGATAATGAGCGGAAATGCAAAGTTTCTAACACTTTCTGAAACTATAGAGCATTGATTATAGGTGTAGAGGTGTTGAAAACTTATACCTTTCATTTACAAATTCATGGGAAATTTTGTGATGCCTACTGTGTGCTTTAAATTTGGTTAACATGCAAGAAATGAGAAGTTGCAGCAGTTTTAAGTTTGAAAGATAACATCATTTTTTAACATAGAAAGAATATGAGGCAACTTTTAAAGAAAGAATGATTATGAAAAAAATTAAAAATCAGTTTTTGTGTAGCATGAAATATAAAAAAAGTACTTCCTTTTTTTTTTCCTAAGTGGTCTTTACATTCAGAAGTGGCAAACTTAATCTCACAAAATCTGTAATTCTCAATTTCAGATGTCGCCAAGGATTTAAATTTAGTTGCTCTATAGCAGAGTTTCTTAAACTTTTTTCAGTCGCGACCCCTTTTTATCACTAAGATTCTTTTGCGACCCTCAGGACCCCATAATATTTACGAAAGTTTTGTGGGGCCCCATACGCATTGCACAAATCTGACACACGTGTGTGTGAAACTGCCAATTTTTTCACTTGTACTGTAATACACTATTGCAATTTTAGGTCATTAACTTTAATTTCTAATTTTAAGACATAGAACAATGTGAATATTTTAAATAAGTAACAGACGAAATGACAGCATCACGTGCAAAGCAAGCAAAATGAGCGTTTTTATTATAAAAAGAGTCTATCGAAATGTTTTCCTTTTTTCTTTGGCTGTATTGTCTTATTTTATCTATTTTCAGATACATTGTGTATAATATTTGGTAATTGTAAAATTATTATAACAAGTTAAAGAAATACCAAAACTGCTAAATTTTTGGCGACCCTCTGTTGCAGGTCCCGCAGTTTAGAAACGCTGCTCTATAGAAAACAAGGATTGGAAAATGAGTTGGAAAACCAAAATTTTTTTTTAATCTATGAAAACTAAAGTTTTTTTTTTTTTTTTTTTTTTTTTTTTTTTTTAACAAGTTTTTCCCATTATAACCTGTTAACAAAGAAGATCATGCTTGCAATTTGAAATCAAGTAAAGTGATTATCAAAGATGCAGAAAATTTGAAGAATCTTTAATAAACTATATAGATAGGTTTATAAAATGAAAAACATTTTAAATTCAAAATATACAAATAAATGCTTAAAATGTCATGAGGAAAGACTTTTATTTTAAGTATATAATTATGGAATACATATATAAATATGTAAAAAGCAACTGAATCTGTGTACATGCTTTTAAAATGCTATCTTTTATTTCTAACTACTATCAATAAGTTTTGTGGGCCATTAATTTTAGCTTAACATATTTTCCTTAATTTGATAATTTATTGCTTTTAACTAGTTTTTTAATTTAATAATGTTTTAAAATTTAATAGGAATAATACAATCAAATAATTATGAGTGGTGAAATTCATTATTAAAAGGTGCAGAGAATACTAACTTCAGATTTTTTGCACTAAATATAATTTAATAAATTAGATACGAGTTGAATGGCATTTCTACAGGCCTTATATTTAAAATTCATCTAATAGCAATATTTGTTTTCAGAATATGAATCTTGACTTCTGCACAATAATTGCTTCATTTATACATAGAAATTCATCTAATTATTTCATACTGAAAATATTAAATTACTTTTTCATATAAACAATTATAACTTTATTGAATTTTGAAATTATTTATTTACTTTTATTCTAAAACTTCATTTTATTTTATGATAATATAAGTGAGCGTTGCATAACTTTTAAAAACTTCAAAGTTTTAACCGATAGATAATGAGAAGAGTATTTTGAACTATTTAATAAAATGGAAACGTTTTTACGGATATAAAACATTTCAAGAATGATTAATTCATTTGTAAGATTTTATTTCATAGAATTAATTTTGAAACTTGATTTAGTTTGAAAGTGATGACAAACTGATTAATTCTGGGCGCATTGTAAAAACTAAGTTTAGATTTATTATATATTTTGTGTGTAAATCTGTCGGAAGAGGGAAATAAATTATAAAAAATGAAAATAGATTATTTTTAAGCTAAACTGAAGTATTAATTTAAAGAAAAAAATTATTTAAAGGCATAGTTATATTAACACGTTGACTGCCATGGGGGTTACCGGTGGACAGCAGGCTACAGCACCGTGGAGACCACGGGTGACCGGCGAGGCAACCAATAGCAAAAATGCATAATTAGAGAAAATATCGATACTAATATATTTTTAAATAATAACATTGTTTCTATAATGGTTTGAAGAATAATAAATTGCAAAAATTCAAATATTAAACCGTGAAAATGGTCTACAGCACCTCAGGGGTCACGGTCACCGGTGACCCCCCACTATGAAACATGCATTAAACATGATTATATAACTCACCTTATTCTCTGAATGTAATATTTCAACATCATATACATAGCATAACAAAAAAATTCTTGTTGGCGCCATGGGCAAAACATGTTAAATGCGAGCGGCATTTAATTAAATTAATACAACGTGTTAAGTATTTTAATGGAAGCAAGGGCTTGAAAAATTCAGTTTGTGAAATTTTGTGTATTTGAAAAGCATAAAATTTGATTTTTAATGAAAGAGTTCTGGCTATTAATTCAAAGGAAATTAAAAGCTATGCAACTACCATCTGTGATTTCAAAGAGTAGTAGACTGAATAAACTTCTAATTAAATTGTAATGTTGCATGTTGTTGACAGACAGTGAGTGCAGATATGAATAAAAACATTAGTTGGGCTATGTAATTTAAACATACAAACAAATTTTGGATATCATGTGGTAACAAAATGAGGTCCACTGGTGCATTGTACTATTTCTTACTGGAAAAGTATTTTAGATGGAGAGAGGATTTTAGATGGATCTTTTTTAAGCATGAAAAAAGGCTACTGTAATAATATAATCATATCATCCTGCACTTGCAATACATTTACTCAAATAGGTTAATCTAAAGCAATATCTGTCTATTTCAGTCAAGATTACAGAACAGAAAAAAGGTTCTAGAACATACCTTATGAATTGATACTAAAATGAGGCATACTGAATTTTTTCAGCTATTTCATATTTTCAGCTAATGTAATTTTCAGATCCCCTTCTGTTATGTAATATAAAAAATTTCTGTTGTAATA